TTCCCGTCTAAAAAGATATTTTATACTTTTGGGAATAAAACAAAAAGTCATTCAATTTGAATATATTATATGTATTCTGTATATTCAAAATAATGAACAATATCGTCAACACAGACATCCAAGAAGCCTGCTAGAACTATTTGCTCGAGTTGATCACACAATCGCCAGATTGCGTCATTTGCTCTAAACCAGCTTTTAACTTGATAAAACAGATTCTCACATGGGTTGAAATCTGGACTGTATGGGGGTAGATACGATAAGTGCGCCAGTTTGGTTGATAGCATGGATAACAGCTCTAGTATGGTGTATTGCTGCGTTGTCTGAAACAAACTTACAAATCATGTAAATACGTGATTAACTATTTTAGAGCTGTCATGTAGATTTTTTCGAAGAGAATTTATAAAACTATAACTGCTATAAACTCACCCATAATAACCACCAAAAAGGTTTGCTCGTTCACATTGCCTCTATAAATGCCAACATCCAAAATTCCATTTGTAGACATGACTGGAATAGCTGATATCCGCGGTCCCCAATTAAGCTGACGTCTCACCACATTTGCTCTAGTACCACGAAAGCTATAACCATAATTTCTGTGTATTCGTTTGTCCTATAAATGATAAAAACTTGAAATTACGGCAAATGATAAAATGCGTTTTATCCAGTTAATTTTTTATCAACTTACAAMGCCGCTTTCATCCAAAAATACAAGCATTTCAGGAGCAAAGGTGCCAATATTACACCAATATTGAGCACGCATATTAACATTCCTCTGCAATGCTATTGATGAACCTATATAATACAGACAAAACAATATATAATTAAGTATAAGTTTGTTGGCATGTTATTATTTTATTTTTATTTACGTTGTAATAATAATAGTCATACTGTTAAAAGGTTTTTTTACTTACCCTCTTGCGTGTAATATCRTTGCGTCTTAAATAATAGTGCAATGAGGATAAACCAAATGTAGTACCAGTTTGAACATGAATGTCGTGAAGGATTTCAGAAAGAGTTTTGTCAGGTTTTTCTAAAATAGCCTCTGGGATAACGAGCTCTTCATGTGCACCTAATGTTATCGCTCCATACGGTCTTCCTAGTTTCGCCGTCTTAATGTCACCAGTATTTCTGTAATTTTGGATGTATCGATTAATCGTTCTTTCAGAGACACCAAGGAAAAATGCTGTGTCTTCTAAAGACATCGTTAAGCATTCAAGAAACCATATTACTCTCCGGCAAAGGTCGTTGTCAAATGGAGCCGGCATGTTAGTTTTTGGACAAGGAATCAACAGCAAGAAATACCATACCCATCATGCACTTGGGTCTTGGAATGACCTATCGCCAATCGCCTTTGACGATGACAGCCTTTTTTGAAAATAGGTGTATAATAATTAAAGAGATAGGAATTATTTTACGATTCATAATGAACTTTATAAACAGCCGATTAGTTGTATTAACAGTGTATAATCTATAGACAAGTTAATTACCCCCCAATGTTCGCCCATCGAGCTTTATGTTTAATTCCATTTCTTCTTTGTCTTGACCAAAAAGCCTCATCTCTCTAATGCCCCATATCACTACAGAACGCAGATCAACTTCGTACGACTGCTTTCCTGCATTATCCAACTTGCGTACACCCATGGATTTCTTTATTATACTAAATACCATTCTTCTTACAGCCTTAATTTTTCGTCAGTAGTAAAGGAGTATCTTTTGAATTCTAGTGAGTAAATTTTAAATAATAGCTTTATTCAATGCWTATAGTGTTTATTCATTTTTTTATTCAGAAAAATCCTAACACTTGGTATAATTACGAATAACTGCGGGGTAACGTTTTTTGGCCAGATACGATGTGCTAGAAATTATAGATTAACAGTTCTGCGTTTCGCAATGATTAAGCACTCGTGATGACTTAAAATAATGCCGATCAGTATGACAATTAATCACATTAGTAGAAATATCAAGCTAAGAAAAAATTAACAAATTGTGTAACTTACCTTTCCTCGTCCAAGATAAGTTATATTTGATAAAGTTTTCCATGCTTCGTCTGGTATTTTTGCTTKGAGTTTAAGATAAAGAAGAACCCAGTCTGGCTGTCGGAGTTCTTTAAAGTATTCTGTCCCTTTACTATCAATGACAATATCAACTAATTCATCCATTCTTAATGATTCTCTATGCGAACAGCAGATGTCCTCGATTTCAGTGAACACTGTTTTTGTTCTTTGTTCTACATTTTTTCTCTTTTGGATACCACGGAGACTTTTATCGTTTTCTATGTCCTTTAAATTTGGAGAGATCTCAATTGAATCAGCCATATCCTTGGAGTCATCACTTGTTGTTGGTGGCGAAGGCAGGAAAGATTGTTTACACTTTTGACCCCTTGTATTCTTCAGAGCGTTCGTCTTCACTTTAGCTACACCTGCTTTCTTGTAATCTACTAATTGGCTTTGGAGTTTCATGATTTCACTGGTTTGCTCTTTTAATTTTGAGTGGAGGTCATCAAYCCTAGATTGGAGCCTTGCACGGTCTGTTGAATCATCAATCGGTGTAGAGCTACCGTTCGTATTAAAACTATAAGAATTTACAAAATCGATTAGGTYTTTATAGTCCTTCGTCTTGATGACTGGGTTGTTTTTCTGGTGTAAAATGACACAGCAAACCAGTTCTTTAACGGATCGAGAAGGGTCGAGAAGACCCTTCTAAACAGCATCTCTATCCAGAGTTCTAACGCTGTGACCTTTGAATTACAATTTCACTCATATCTAGTTACTGAAACTTTATTTATCATTAACCAAACTTGTTGCATACATTGAATACTATCGAATGTTGTGTTGACAGTACATAGAACATGAGTTTCCGCTAAAGGTGGCAAAATGAAAATGGATTATACTGAGATATAGGGATTCCTACTGTGAAACAACTGTTGTGCCACAACAGTTGTTTGATTTTTTTCTTAGCTCTAGCTTGTCGTGGAAAAGCTCAAAGCAGAGTCAGAGAAAGCATGCACTTTCGATTGCTGTCTTAATGCCAGTGACAGCCCACCTGTCGCAGCGAAGTGGACTGCAACTACTCTTATTGAGGCCTGGTTCGACAAGAATATGTCAATAGATGCGCATGTTGGGAAGGTCTGTAGTAAGGCCTTCTTTGGTCTTTACAAGATTAGGCAAATAAGGAAGTTTCTATYGGAGGATGCTACCAAAACTTTGGTTCACGCATTCGTCACCTCTCACGTGGATTATTGCGACTCTCTGCTCTACGGTGTTTCGCAGTACCAGCTTAATCGCTTCTTCCACGATACTCCCACATCACTCCTGTGTAGGTTCAACTTCATTGGCTTCCCATTGTCTCCCGGATCAGATTCAAGATTGCGCTGTTGGTTTTCAAATTTCTTCCTGGCTCCGCTCCATTTTACTTATCTTAGCTATTACACTTGAAGGCTCCTGGGCGCTATGCTCTGCGTAGTGACGATCAACATCTCCTTGTGATTCCACGAACGAACTGTAAAACATTTGGTGACCGAGCATTTGCGGTAGCCGGACCTAGGGTCTGGAACAGTTTACCATTATACATACGCAAATCCAGTGACTTGCCGACTTTTAAAGCTAACTTGAAAACATTTTTATTTAGTCAATCTTATTAATATATTTTAGCATTTATCGTTCTAATTCAATGTAAATAGATTTTATAAATATATATAATTTTTCAACTATTAAGCGCATTAGAATATTTTGATGAAAAGTAGTGGTTTGCCATGCCTTGCAACATTGGCTTTCTACGTGATTGCAAAAGACATCACCTAATACCTCGAGGCTTACGATCGCCCAATATGCTTAAATATACGACCAACTCACCACTAGCTGAATCGCTTGCTATCAAACACAGCCGCCAATGGTTAGAACTGGCATTGGATTCCCAATATTATCAATTGTCACGAAGCAATGTGTATTTCCACTCATTGAACATGAAGATCGCCAAATAACAGCACTCCAATGCAAGCTTAAAATCATCAAATCTCGAAAATTCAAATCATTAAAGCCGAAGAATCAAACATCATCCAATATTAAACCACCGCAGGGATTTACAAATCTCTCGTCTCAAGAACTGGATGACAAATTAATCTCTATTCTGAAGAAGGGACCCTCATTCGTCAATGCGGACCCATTACAGCTACCAAAGTCATGTTTACTTTCAAAGGCTAGTCTCCAATCAGCAGTTGACACACTGGAAGAACGAAAGATACCCCAAAATACGATCAACGAATTTAAAAGTGGCATTGCCAGAATTATCAATGATTGTGAGCGATCTGAGCCCTCCATCCTCAAGGCCAAACGACAGCCTTTCCACTGTCCACCGCCCTCAGTAATTATCACTCCTWCTGACAAAACCAAACGCCTTGTAGCACTCGACAAAACACAGTATGMGAATATTGTTCAAACCAGCACTATATCAACTGGAAATTATCGACCGGGGAAAACAAGATTAAATCTGCCCAAAACTGAACAAGCTAAATTCAACACTAGTCTCAATGAGATTGCTGACAAATACCGCGAGGACCATCCCGAACTATCCAAAAGTCTTAACACATGCAGAACACATGCAGTGAACCACTCCCTTGCGCTGTCTACTGTCTACCTAAAGACCATAAAGAAGGGGATYTAAGGGGCCGCCCTATCCATGCAGCTACAGATACTCCAGCTACTCGGTTATCTAAATTTCTTGCCATATCACTGAACACCCTTCTAGCCCACGTTCCAGCCCATCTCAGGAACACTAGTGGGGCGGATAAGCAGAAAAATCGTGCGCTTTGTGAAGAAAGCACCAAATTTGGCATAGTGGTAGTTTATAATGGTCTATTTCGCCTATTTCGCCATTTATAGGGGGTTTTGGCATGAGAGCGAGGCTTAAAATCAAAACAACTAGGAAAATATGTAATTCACTTTAATCATCCTTGTTTCTAACTGATATTGACTGTATTTGAATTTATCGAATTTCTCTCTTCAATGGATGGTAGTATCAAAGGTTTCTGCAGCCTAGATGTATGTAACCTATACGGTTCAATTCCACTAGAGGATAAAGAGGACGGAACACCAGGGTTATTCTCAGTCATAAGAGAATTTTTCTCAAATTTTAAGCACAATTCCTGTCTGCAACACCTCACGGACATGGACTTTGAAACTCTGATACGTCTTTGTCTCACAAGTGACACAATCCTTATAGATGGTAATAGTTATACTCAAAAGACCGGCTTAGCTATGGGTAACAACCTGGCACCAACAATGGCGATCATCTACATGAACAAGCTATACGAAGGCATCCTCACAACATTTGATGAGCCGTTATATCTCAAAAGATACATCGATGATATGTTTGTAGCCTGGTCAACAAATGATATTGATCCAACAAGACTACTCAAGATCGCCAATGAGCTAAATAAATCAATTAGAGTTATTCCGCATTAGACGCTTTTCACTCCGTTGACATGCAAATATTCAACACGTTATCATTGCGTATGTAAATGAAGTTTCATTCGTCAAAGGCTAGGATGTGGACAATAGGAAGTTTGACTAATATTATTATATTTTTTGAACTGCCATGCTTGTTTTATTTTTAAAGAACAATAGAACAATCCTTTACATTAACAATTTAGAGCACATTTTTACTTTACTTCAGCTTTGAAATAATAAATTGGAGTATGATTTATCTATTTCCCATTTTATTTCCGTCAAAGTTCAACTGTAACAATTAAGGACATTGTCAATTGCATTTACAACTCATCTAATTTTTTTTCCAACTTTTTTAATATGTCTGGCATCATACTCATAACTGAGCTTGCTTGYTCGCACATTTTTGTGTGTGCTTGTTGCGCTTCAAAAGTGGCTTCTTTTATGGACTTCTGTTTCTTTTTGGCAGGTCGTTCCTCGTCGGTACTGACGTCRGAGTCCGCAAAGGSTTTAAGCTTGTCATTTKTCYTTTCTTCGGGGGACMTTTTCCTTGCATACTGCATTGTTTTTTTTACGAGGCTTACACTTTCCTTCACTTCGATCTCTTCAGTCTCAGAAGCATCGGATTCAAGTATCGCATTCGTTTGCACTTGAGGCACAAGACTGTTACTGTTTTTGGAGTGAAAGTTGCGGTATACTTCTGCTTGTTTCTGTTGCTGTTGTCTTATGATTCTTTTTATTCTTCTAGTTGATATAGTTTCATCACTTGTGATGTAATAGTCAACCAGCCTAGGATTAACTGGGGATTTTGTAATATTTTTCTTTACTTCGRCAAGAACAGCTCCCCAGCCATTGYTACTTCTTTGAAGGTATGCATGCATTACTAATTTTGACTCTTCTTCTCMAACCTTTATCGACATTCTKTCTTTCTTATGTCCGGTACTACCACTTGTACTACTGCCTGCTGCAGGAATCTCGAACGGCCTCCAAATGATGGACATCTTGATAAGTACGCTGTACGATAAAATTTKCCATTTTTATAGTCTYTTTCTCATTGTTCTAAATAAWAGAACATGCCTGTACAACAGAATGCAATACAAGAATGCCGGAATCTGTTTTGAAAGGACACCTAAGCTATGAAAAGCAAAGTAACAGAAAGGAAGAAAAAAAGGATTGTAAAATGGTGATTTAWAGGAACGCCTACCTAAACTCTGTCCCTTCATTAAGCTCATTAATTAAATATCTTTCTTTTTTTTCTAAGGCCCTAGTCAGACCTGTCAAATTAGGCTGGCTTATTGAAGAGGGCAATGCATAATTATGTTATCCTCGTTAASTTGATATAATTAGGATCGTCTTCTACAAAGAAATCGTCCATCCGTCATTTAAGACCTGAGCTTAGTCTAAATAGCTCTTCATGTCTATGGAGTCATGGATAACCGACAATTACGCATATTTTCAATCTCGTTGTTAATCATACAAGCATTTATTACAATGGTCACATCTATACCTCGGCCCGTATCTGTAGATRACGTAGATCAAGAACTCAAGCTTCTTATCTTGTTGACGACCATTGTAGAGCAACTTTTTTATTTAACTGCTTCCATGTCACCTCCYATCTACACTTCACTGAGGTTAAGAGATCGACTATTCCYTCATTTTCATGGACATGATTTTAGAGGGCGCGATGTGTTTTCTATGGTGTCCCAKYAGCGTTACTTGTTTTGGTTGAATACGGGCGAAACTCCCGAGTCRCTACTTAATATTGTTTATCAAATAAGTCCGCAGCTGTCTGTTTTAACAAGGCAAGGAAATTTGAGGCGGAGAATGCAACKATACAAGCTTAATGTCATAAATCGAGTGCTGCTTGTTTTCATRTGGCTCAGAAAGTATCCTCATTTAGACACTTTAGCTCTTGTATTTGATGTTAGTCCTCAAACAGTGCAAGCCCTTTTGTATCAGKGTATTCTAGTTTTGTGGAGATATTTCCGACAAGAAATTACGTGGCCAAGCATTAGAGAATGGAATGCCTTGCGAAATACCTGGGGGAAATTTCCAAATGCTCTTGGCTGTGTAGACGTAACTCCCCACGAGATACGCATGCCATCAACAGAGACTCAACGGCCATTTTACAGTGGGCATAGGCATTTCCATCTCTTAAATACATATTCGTTTCATCCAAACTGGTTTTCTAGGGAGTACTCATGATGCCCTAAGTTTTCAACTGATGGAACCAATAGGTCCTGGCCTAACACTTGATTTCCCCGCAGATGCTTTTCTCCTTGCTGATCAAGGTTATGCAGATATACCTCCGTTACTCACACCATTCAGAAGAGCGCAAATAAGACGACTTAATCGTAGAGATAGACGTCGTGCACAACGCTTTAACATTGAGCTGTCAGGAAATCGTGTCAAAGTCGAACACATCTTCAAACATGTTAAAGACTATAATTGAGTAGTGGGAGAGGGGCTTTCTGGCGCACACTAAATCATTGACCCAAGGCTAAATCATCGAGTCAAATCCAAAACTGCAACACATTAAATCATTGGCTCAACCGGTGATTTAGCTACTCAAATTAACTAGCTAGATTCGATCTTATGCTTTTATATTTGTTATATATAATGGGTAGCAACGCAGAAGTAAACGAAATATTAAAT